TTCTGCCAGGCGTCTGTGGCCGCTCCGATCCTTCCCCCACGTGGTCTCACCCAAGATGGCTGCTCCTGGAGCATCCAATTGTACCGAACTTGAAAGCAATAGATTTCTTGCTTCTGTCACAAATTCCCCCAGCTGTGAGCCTTCCAACCTTCTAAGTATTCCTTTATATGCGGTTCAGAGTTCTGGGACCAGCCCTGAACCTGCTTGGTCGGGTATTCTGTGTTGTTGTTGGCGGAGCTCTCTGCTATACGTCCACCCGATCCACCATCTTGTTTGTTTTTTCATCATTTAATTTCTTGATTGCTGCTTTCTTGAGTGTGAATTGTGGATCCAAGCAAAATGAAGTCTTTTACAACTCAGTGTTTTCTCCACTTATGATGTTATTTATTGGTGCATGATAAGGATTTTTGTTTTTATATTGAAATGCAATCCATACTTAAGACTATGTATGATCTTTGATCTTAATCAGTATTTTAAGTCCTCTTCACTTTCAGCAAGCAAGATTGTATCATCTGCATATCACAGGTTGTTAATGAGTCTTTCTCCAATCCTGATGTCATGTTCTTATTCATATAGCTTCTCAGAGTGTTTGCTCAGGTACAGATTGAATAGGTATGATGAAAGAATACAACCCTGGCACACACTTTTCCTGATTTTAGACCATTCAGTGTCCCTTTGTTCTGTTCGAATGATTGCCTCTTAGTCTGGGTACAGGATCCTTGTGAGCACAGTTAAGTGTTCTGGAATTCTCATTCTTTCCAATGGTATCCATAGCTTGTCATGATTCACATAGTCAAAAGCCTTTTCATAATGAATAGAGCACAAGTAAGCATTTTTGTGGTATTCTTTGTTTTCAGCCAAGATCTAATATCAGCAATGATATCCCTTAGTTCTCTGTCCTCTTCTGAATCCATTTAGAACCGCTAACAGTTTTCTGTCAATGTACTGTCCCAGCTATTTTTGAATAATCTTCAGTAAAATTTTGCTTGCATGTGATATTGATCATATTCTTCGGTGATTTCCATATTCTGTTGGGTCACCTCTTTTTGTTATAAGCACTAATAGGGATTCATCCATTTATTTGGCCTGGTTGGTGTCTCCCAAATTTTTTTACATAGATGAGTGAGCACCTCTAGTGATTATCAGTTTGTTGAAAGATTTCAGTTTGTTTCCCATCAATTTCCGGTGCTTTGTTCTTCGCACAATGACTTCAGTGCACCTTGGCCTTTTTTCTTCAGGATCATTGGCTTTTGATCTTATGCTATCTTTTGAAATGGTTAAACATTGGCCATTTCTTTTTGGTACAATGACTCTTGTGTATTCCTTCCATCTTCTTTTGATGCTTTCTGCATCATCCAATATTTTGTCCATACAATCCTTTAATATAACAAGTCAAGGCTTGAATTTTCTCTTCAGTTTTTTAAACTTAAGAAATGCTGATCGTATTTTTCCCTATTGGTTTTCTATCTCCAGGTTTTTGCACATTTCATTGTAATAACTTTGCCTTTTTGAGCTGCTCTTTGAAATTTTCTATTCAAAGGTCTTTTACTTCCCCATGTCTTCCATTTGCTTTAGAATCTCTACACTGGAGAGCAAGTTTCAGAGTCTGTGGAAACATCCATGCTTTTCTTTTCTTTCTTTCATGTCTTTTTAATGACCTTTTACTTTCTTCCTGTATGATGTTCTATATGTCATCCCATAGCACTTTCTGGTTTTCAGTCATTTGTGTCTGATGTATCAAATCTGTTCTTGTGATGATCTCTAAACTTAGGTGGAATATGATCACGGTCATATTTTGGCTCATGTGGATTTGTTTTAATTTTCTTCAGCTTTAGCCTGAACTTGCATATGAGCAATTGATGGTCTGTTCCTTAGTCTCTCCCTAGTCTTATTTTGGCTGATGATATTTAGCTTTTCTACTGCGTCTTCCCACAGATGCAATCAATTTGATTGTTTCATTTGGTGAGGTCCATGTGGATAGTTGCCTTTTATGTTATTTTAAAAAGGTATTTAAATGAATATATTTATATAAAATGTAAAATTTTATCATGTGAGCACTAGCATCATTTCTATCACCTTGACCATACTTTCCAATCATTGATCCTTTCTCTTTGTTTCTAACCTTCACATTCCAATCACCAGTGATTATCCGGCATCTTTATTTCATGTTTGATCACTTTTAGACTGAAGAAGTTGATAGAATTTTTCAATTCCATCTTCACTGTAGTGGTTGGTGTGTAAATTTTGTATAATAGTGGTATTAACTGATTTTTCTTATAGGCATATGGGTATTATCCAATCACAGATGGCATTTTACTTCAAGATAGATCTTGAAATGTTCTTTTTGATGATGAATAGTATGCCATTTCTATTTAATTTGACATTCCCGGCATAGTAAACTACAGCAACATGCAAGCCACCACAGTATGACAAACTGAGAAAACAGTGGTGCTATTCATTAATAAGATACTAGCTTTTTATTTCCATTTCCAGTAGATGTGATAGTAATCAGCTATAAGAACATGTTAGTTTGGTCTGTTCCATTGTGGACTATGACTGTCTGATTTACCATTACCTTTGTTTTCCTTGAGCACTGTCTGAAAGGATAGAAACGACCCAATGCATTCTTGGAAAGGTAGGTGGATTACAGAATAGACGAAAGAAGGTAGAGTGATGAGTAATCAGGCTGAGTTTGAAGGACAATGGTGAGAAGTGTCAGTTTTATTAGGTTCTAGGTGTGGCACTATGTGTTCCATCTGCCAAGAAATTTGGAAGACAACTG